ACGCACGTTCAGATGACAGTTCCCAAATGTGAGTTAATGTGATACTTGGTCAGTGTATTAGATGGATGCAAGTCGGTCTGTTATTCCTTAGTATGCATGTGGACTGTCCATTGGATATGTGGTCCCAGATAGATTAAACAAAGTTGCACCCACCCAACTATTGACTTGCAATCTGATGTTGGAATGTTTCAATGGATGATTGCCCATTATGGTATGCTCTGCTGACTTTATTTCTCTCTTTTTTAGGAAGAAACGTCGGTTCATTCGTGCTGTTGAATCGAGAAGATGTGGTTCACTGCATTCATATCTTGAGAGAAATGGCCATGTTGCCGGCGACATGGTTTTAAAAATGCAGCGTGCTATCAATGTAATGCAAAGAACTACAATGGTTTCATATGATGACCAGTTACTGGTATCGATTGGTAAACTAACGGACAAAGTTAGAGACTGGAAAAGTAATCTGAATCTGAAGATGCAATTTGACTCGTTGATTGAGGATTGCCAATCTGCCATGTGAGTATACCCACCATGTTTACATTATATCATCAGTTTTGCAATGTACGAAAGTTTACATTCTACAGTGCCGGAGATGCCCATAACACTAAGTGGTTTGTACTTGTATTGGTTGGTACGTCACCAGTGCAGTACATGCCTGTGGATACGTGTCACGGGTTCTGAAAATGTACAGACTTGATAGAGTAGTGTCATAGCAGAGAGTAAACCAAACTAACAATACTACTTACATTGTAGTTCTTAGATAACCATGGAAATATTAGTATCTCTGAATAGGTGCAACCAAAAAATGTGCTGAACTTCTCTAGGAGCAGCAAGGACTTTTTCTTTGCAAAGACATTGCATTGTGTGAAATTATTTTTTATGGGAAAAATGTTGTCAAACGTTTTGTAAAGACGTCAAATTGGCAAGTTTTCCTGGCAAATTTATTATACGATCAACAGGTTGTTTTCACCACCAAATTAATGTCCATTTCCAATGGCTTCTTTTCAGATAATAATCAATTTCCCAAAATTACTTGTTTCTTGACCAGATTATTTTGTCAATAGCAATATATTGATCCTGACATTCTGAATTTATTTCAGGGCTGGACCATGAATGAATGTGTGTAGATTTGGACCCGTGGATTTAACTTTGTGGATATATGTATATACAAAATTTATGAAATAATTGTTTTTTAATGTTGAATATTAATTTTTGGTGTAAATAAAGATTTATATTTCTTTAATCCTGTGTTTCATAATCTGTTTTCAACTAACCCCATGATATTGACTGTGCCCCCGCCCCCCGCACCAATGACACTTTTTAAATGCACAAATAATTCTTTTGCCTTTAGATTAGTAAACTAATGCATGTCGTAAATGTGTGGCCCAGTCCTGGTTTTTAGAAACTCGCGTTCCTAGTAGCACTGGCGTTACATTGTCCAAGTCCAGTTAGGAGTCTGGATCTTCTATGTTTAGCTAAACTTGTTCAGGATGGTCATGCCACAGCTCAAAGACAGTACATCAAATCGATTTCTCAGTGGCACTGGATCTGAAAGATGCTTGCACATTCCACTGCAACTGTTCAGCCAAACTGTTTTGATGTCATAAAGGTGAGATGACAATTCAAAGTTGTAATCACTAATACTGTGACAACTAATGAGTGCAGTAAGAATATTTACATCTGTTTGCCTGCATACAACAATATTATTATGGCAGACTCTCGCAACGACTCGGTTTTGATGCAAAGGAGTCATAAAACGTGACCTTAATAGCTATATTCTAGTTGAATCCGGGTGAACCCTGCTACTGCCAGTAGACAATCCAAAGATGCCCAATGACCTGAATCGTCTTCCATGGGAATATCTGCGGCTGATCTGCACTGGCTCGGAAGATGAATTCTGATTGGTCAAAAAAACTTGTGGCGTTGAATGCACGTTCATTGTCAGTATTGTTATGCAAATTCAAACTAGCTAATCATTTACAACCTTCCGAGCCAGTGCAGATTAGCCCAATATCTGCAATTGCAGAGCAGTTTCGTAATTTGTACAGGTGAACCTCTAGCATGGATTTCTAACCAAGCCACTGACATTCAGACTAGAGTTTTTAACAAAGTCAAAAAATATCAAATTTTCGTACCAAAGATGACAAAAAATATTCATCAAAATTAAAGATATAATCATGAAATGAACAAATCTAAGGGGTCTACCCAAGGTACATGTACACAAACTATCAAAGCAATCGGGCTAGTTTTCAAGAAGTCAAACTAGTGACTAGGCTGTCGAAATGGTCCGGTGTCCTACTAGGACATTGTGAGCAGCCTGCACTCAGTTAAGGTGTCAACTTCATCAAATTGTTCACAAAAATAACTGGCAGTGTACAAGTATTCAACTACAGAGAATAGATGTTGCCATCACAAAATGAACAAATCTGGCAGAGGTCTACTCGACGTACCTACATACAAAAGTATCAAAGCAATTTAGCTGGTAGTTTTCAAGAAGTCGAAAATGCAATTGACAATTAGTCGTATGGGAAAACGTACTTGACATGTTACAGTCACCATAGTTTACTTTGGAACACAAATGCACATCCACTGTATGACCCATGTATTAACTGATGAATGCTATTAATCAAAACACTTCAAAGATTGGTGTACACAGTGCATTTTATTTGAGATGAACTATGCGGCATTAATTTTCTTCTGTTATCAATAAAGAGCTATTGCCCAGACAGGCTAAGCATTTAGTTGAATATTTAATTAGGACAATGATTACCCAATACTATATCATATTGAATTGCATCATGGCAACCAGCAGCATGCATGTACCAGATTTGAGTCCTGAAATCCTGTTCCACAAAAACTTAATCTTGGTGCATTTTTATTGATTATGGCATCTGGAATCATGACGCGAAATAAATACATGTCTATAATATAGTATTGTAACATACTAAATACACAAAATTTGAATGCAATCTGAGCTTTGAAGCCTCGCTCATTAAAAGTAAATGGCCAAAAGTCGGTAAATCTGATCTGTGAAACAAAATGACGTGCATCATGTTCCCATAATGTATCGTGGTCCATCAGCACAGTCTAAATGAAATCTGTTTCTGGAATGGCAGAAATGCTCAAATTTGATGCATTTTCTGAACTAAAATGGCTGCCATTTTGAATTTGATAGTGAAACAAATGCTTGTCCATAATGTAAAATGCATGTGTGAACGTAATCTGTCAAAGCAAGTCTGAGATACAGGTGTGGACAAACAAATGACCATATATGGTCTGTAATGTTAATTACATGCTTCTCAGATGATATACGTAAAGCTCAATCTTTAAAATAATCTTGTACATCAGCATTTAAATTAAGCTCACAGAATTCATGCCCACCATCTTGATCAACTCATTTGTAGCAAAAAATTGGAAGGGTCAATACAAGATTCACTGGGCCACAAAATACATGTATCCTGTATGGTTTCACTCTGAACCATGCATTGATTTGCATAAAAGAGAAGGCATGTGGCAGGAAAAAAAAAACCTAATGCAAATATTTTAAATATAATGTAATCAGTTTAATATCGTACAAACACAATGTAATGGTAATTGAACATCATAAAAAAGATTTTTTCAGTGCTATTTGTCTTTGGTTGAATAATCGTCTTATCAGGAATACTGCTAGGACTAGAAAAACCATGATGATGATAAAATACAAAAGTTTTTGTTGGAACACTGGATGAAATTCAACGTGTGCATTACTGATTTGAGAATCAAAATCATCATAGGGACGTTCATTCTGGTCCTCTTCATTTGATTCAAAGTTCACTTGAAAACCAGGAGGTCCTGGATCAATGAAATAGCGTAAATATACTATCAATGCCGCTCCCGCTACAGACGTCATATGTGATTCGCAACCATCTATTGATAGAGAAAGATAAAAAAAAATGTGGAATGTAATTGTTTCAACACCAGATGTTTGATTTCTTAAGATAACGCTTTAATAAGTAAAGCATTGCAGGAAAAGTGTAAGTTGTTTCTTAGCATACGTTTTCACTAAAATGCTTTCATTTTATACCACAAAATTTACAATGATTCCAGACAGAACATGGAGCAAAAACTCAATCAGGTTTCCTTTAAAGCTGTTTTCTTTTAAAATGTAGAATTTCATTATCATATGTCCATTACCTTTCAATTCTTTTGTACGTAGCAACTTCCTGTCTTTTTTTACTTCTGATGACAACTTCTCACCAAAGCAACCATTTGAAAATTGCCAAGACAACATTCTTTTCAGCCAGTTGAGTTTAATAAAATCAATGTATCCCAAACTTCCACAAATAAATACTGTCAGAGGTGAAAACAAATTTGAATATTTTACCAGGTAAAACAAATAGATACTGTCAAAGGGGAAGAAAACTTTGAATATTTAATCAGGTAAGCATGTATCTTGTTTGTATTTGAAAACTTTCCATGAATTACAAAACAGTCGATCTAGAAATCAATATTTAAATTATGGTAGCATATGCCAGATTTAGAATTCAACACGTAAGCTCTGTACAAGAAGATTTCAGTTGTTTCACACACACGTAACACAGTCTCAAGTTGTAAATGGCTGAATTAACATTTGAGGACACCAAGTTATGTCTTGTCTTTGAACAAAATCTTTCGAGGCATGCCAGAAAAAGTCTGTTGATGACAAGTTCAATTTTTTATTCAATTGTATTTTCTTTTGACAAAAATGGGCACCATCATCAAAATCCGAAAATAACTGTGAGAACGTGTGTGGTATTTTGGGGTGGACCTGTAGCAAAGGCATGCACATGTACAGTACAATGACAAGACACAAACACGACCAAGGCTTATAGAATACTGACAACATTTTATTGAATTACATTTCTTTTATAGCAGCGCATGCCAGATGTACTGGCATACCAGGTGTACATTAATTAGCATATTAATAGTGTGTACAAATCACAACAACGTGCATCCTATTATGTTTTGCCCTGGTACTAAATTTTTACAAAATCTGTAAAAGTGGATCTAAGAAATGGGTAGAACACAGAAGAAACAAAATGGCTACCATTTGGTGATTTTTAACCAAATTGCCAAAAAAGCAAGTGATATCAATACCAAATTTGAATGAAATAAGTAAGTTATTTGAGTAAAAAGTACATGAAAGCCATGAGAGCACTTTCATTTCTAAGAAATAATGTGCCACTGTCTTCCGCCAATTTTTTGCCTTATTTTACATTACTGTTAACTTTGTTTTCTCTAATTTTTATCTAGCCTCCCTCCTCATTGGAAATAATGGTTCAGCCCACACACAACATGGCTACATACATCGTTTTTTTTAATACTTTTGTGTGCATTTATATGAAACTTTTCAACTCACATTGTTCCATGAATAAATCTTGTAGATGTAGAGGTATCCCTAGCAGTATGATTTTATGCACCTCTTTCAGCATAGATGAACACAACTCATGTTGAATTTGTAATATATCACCTCTACCATTTTGTGCAGCCATCTGATTCATACTCTCTGTGCAATACACCTAGTTGTAATTTACAAAATTCAAGAAAAAAATATCAAATCTACTATGGCTAGCTCCAACAAAGTGTAAACAGTTGTAATGACATATGCACAAATTGGTTTTATATGATGTAAAACATGGATGTGGTTGCCATGGGAACAGCCAATTCGATAGATTTAAACAAGTACCTGTTCAGCCAATGAGAAATATAGAACTTGATGCGTTAGAATATACATGTTTTGTTGGGGTGTCATCATCATCTGCCAGCATTTGTTAGTTATTGTGCACGGTGGATCATCAACGTCAGTTCCAATCAGCTTGGACATACAGATATCTATCTGGTCTTCATTTAAATCTACAGAAAAATCAAAAATATTTAATTTGGTAATCTGTGTGTGTGTGAGCACTCAAGTGATTGTAAGAATTCTGTTTGGCATGTGTACAATATCAAAAAGTATATGAAAATTATTTTAATAATAAATTTGTGACAGGCGATTGAATGACAATGCTTATAGCTTAAAAGGAGATTTCCAGCTTCTGACAGGGTCTCATGATCATGGAGAACAGGATTAAAATGTTCAGAATCTAGTGAAAAATCAACACTGTCATTACTGACAGTGCTGTCATAGCGATCAATATTATTATCATTTCTTTGTACATTTCAGATTTCACCGCCATGGTCATTGATGAGTTGAAATTCAATATATAGTTGGATACAATTCACAGTTACATACTACCAGTAATCTAAGAAAGTTTCTTTCAAAATCCACTTTGTTTGAATAATGACTAAATTTTAAACAAATAAGAGAATACTTTTGAATTTCAGGATTTTGCTTTTGCATAACTAAGCAGTCAATAAGCAGTTACTAAATAGTCATTAAAGTGCCTGTGAAATGGCTGCTATTTTCATGCCTAAAATTATCCATTGATACATTATTAATATTATTAATTTTTATGTTTCTAAGCATGAATTATTTTTTTAAGTGAAAAAATGTGTTTTAGCTTCTCATTTGCATACAGAAATTCCCCTTGTGACGTCAGAAGGGGAAGTCGCATGGCAGCAGATGTGTGAATAAGGCAAATTTCTTGTGCAGTTTTCTCGTCTTTGACTAAATTGTCGCTTATGTACTTGTTCGTCGAGGAAGAATGGACCATAATGAACACATAGTATCAATTTTTTTTGCATGGGGTTGAGTTAGATGCGAAATATGTCCGTTCTGGTGTAGCTGGTCACCGTGATCGTCACCGACACCGGCACAAGTTTGTACACTGTCGCTGGACAAAAAAGAATTTGACGTTGGAATTATCTCGTGATTTAGCAGGTTACTAGGCACGTCACTACACTGTTTTATTTCATCGATCGTCTGAGTAAAACTTTCAAAATTAAAATAAAAGAGAACATATTTTGACATTCTAAACATTAGACTATAGTGGAAAACGACAAATCACAGTTACTAAATAAATGACAGCCGCGTGGAAATAAATTGACATTTTGTTGAAATAGGTAAACGCGTCGGGTCACGACGAGGGCAAGTGCGTTAAAAGCGGCGTTTAATTGGATAACAAAAATAATCGAGATCAACACACATACAGATAAATTCAGAGTGGATTCGAGTTAGCGTGATCCATGACGTGATTGTCATAATTATAACATCATATTAAAACTTTACTTGGTGGAAACACATTGACCAAGCCCGGATTCATATTTCATAAATTATTACGTAGATCAAGCTGCAAGCATGGAGGTGAAAAAAGAACAGAGGTGTGAATTCGACATTCAACACCAATCACCAAACAATTCAGAAACTTTTAGCCTTGGAAAATGAAAACAATTAGCAGTGTGTGTAAGGCTGTGTAATTTCCTGTTTGTCCGATGCTTCGTTTTCGTGTCACTGTCAAAATTATTGCTATTATAAAACGATAATCAGGATCGTAAAAAAAGTCAACTCATTTGAAACACTTGCCGGACGTCTCTCTCTCTTTTCTGAAATCCGCCTCGGTGATCATGGGCTGGTCCATAATCTATTTCTTTCAAAAGTGTTGCGCCAGGTTTACGTTGTCGGCGTTGTTTTTTCATGGACGAGAACATTTTTTCCAACAACAAAAAAGAATCTGAGGTTTAGTGGCTTTCGTCCACTGATGTCGCACCTTCAGATCGACTAGAAACGGGTGAATACTTACACTATGACTATACGTTTCACTGCAACTGCCCACAACACAACATCTAAAAACTCCCTCTCAAAAAAAATAAAATAGACAAAAAAAAAAGAAGAAAACGCCGGCCGAAAAATGTACATGTATATCGTTTAAAAGTATACTGAATGACCAGTGTTATTACGGCTCAGGGGTATGACTTCCTCTCACATTTTGTCATTTGGTGGCGCACTTTCGGCGAGAGTCGGAAATCCGGAAACAGTCGACCATTTCAGGATAGATGGGCATGGCTACAACACGAGAAATATCCCAAATTTACTTGGATACAAGTAATCATTTTCAGCAAAAAAATCAATAACTGCCCATTTCAGTGGGACACAGATCTAAAATGGGAAACGTGAGGGTGGGCATTGCACAGGCACTTTAAGCAGTTAACCAACAGTCACTAAGCAGTTAACCAACAGTCACTAAGCAGTTACTCAACAGTCACTAAGCAGTTACTCAACAGTCACTAAGCAGTTACTCAACAGTCACTAAGCAGTTAACCAACAGTCACTAAGCAGTTACTCAACGGTCACTAAGCAGTTACTCAACAGTCACTAAGCAGTTACTCAACAGTCACTAAGCAGTTACTCAACAGTCACTAAGCAGTTACTCAACAGTCACTAAGCAGTTAACCAACAGTCACTAAGCAGTTACTCAACAGTCACTAAGCAGTTACTCAACAGTCACTAAGCAGTTAACCAACAGTCACTAAGCAGTTAACCAACAGTCACTAAGCAGTTACTCAACGGTCACTAAGCAGTTACTCAACAGTCACTAAGCAGTTAACCAACAGTCACTAAGCAGTTACTCAACAGTCACTAAGCAGTTACTCAACAGTCACTAAGCAGTTACTCAACAGTCACTAAGCAGTTACTCAACAGTCACTAAGCAGTTAACCAACAGTCACTAAGCAGTTACTCAACAGTCACTAAGCAGTTACTCAACAGTCACTAAGCAGTTACTCAACAGTCACTAAGCAGTTACTCAACAGTCACTAAGCAGTTAACCAACAGTCACTAAGCAGTTACTCAACAGTCACTAAGCAATTAAGCAGACTTTGCAGCTTTAAGCAAGGTGTAACAACTGATTCTAAGGGGTAAAGAAATTAGAAACTCTGAGGCCATGTAGAATTGAACAAAAATAGCATCAGCAAAATCAGGGAAACTAATTATAAACAGCAAATACATCATAGAAGAAAAACAGAACAAATACAGCACTCTATATACATGGTAACAGCATTGAGCAGAACACATACCTTCATTATTAATTTCTATATTAATTTGTACTTTTTGAATTGTGATATCAGCTATGCGATGACTGTGGAACACACGCCATGCACTGCCTATTAGAGGTGTGAACTGTTTAAAATAACTTGGGTCTTTCTCTTGAATATAGGGGAGTGCCATATTAGCTGTGGTTTTGGCTTCCAATTGGATCTTCTTTAGTTCTTGAAATAAATTATCTGGCAAGTGATTGTACAGACCTCTATTGTGTTCTTCTATTAGCTTTGAACAGAGTCCTGAAATGTGAGATGAGAACGAGTTACAGATATTAAACTTGGTGAGAATGTATGATATTACGCACACTAATAATAGACAGACTAGCAACACATATTGTTTATGGTGTTAATCTGACAAAAAAAGATCTGTTTCTAGTCTAAATTTTCTTTAAAAAATAATATGGTTAAGGCAACTTTATTTTTTCTTGCTTCCATGAACAAGATATTGTGCCACCAAAGGCAGACATATCTCCCCCACCCAGATTTTTTTTTTCAATCAGAAACAGATCTAATTTTTCCAGCCTTATTGGAGATATTATGCCTTTGCTTCTTTTGTTTTACATTCTAAAGATGGACAAGCAATCCATTGAATGCAAATCACCAAACTCAACTTAAATGTATTATAAAAGCCTTTGAATGCTGTCACTACCAGTACTCAACATGTACGAATATATAATTAGGAAAGTAAAGTAATAATTTATCATGAATTTAAATTTTGTCAGACATTTTGAAACATTTTTAATGGAGGATGGAGGATGTTTGTCGTTAAGTCGACAGTGTTCACTTGTGTGGCATCATCTATCTTTTCTTAATCATAAATGGTGATGTATAATGTGATATGTATGATTTCAATAAACAAAAATATGTAGTAAAATGATTTCCACTGATGCACAGTGCACTGAGGATTTGAGTGCAGTCTAGACGAAGCAAATTCATGACGACCCACCCATAACTTGGACACAGTTACTAGTAAACTACTACCGGTAGTGCATAAGAAAGGGGCTGTATATAGTTATGCAACACGTATGCTTGCTGACTGATTATAGCCCAACAATGCTTGTTCCTCCGCGATTACAAAAACAAACTGTCAATACTTACCTTCGATCACCCGCAAACCAAACACGCCGTCTAAATTCATATTACGATATTCAGATCTATAAAAGTCCAATAAACCGTAAATTGCTTTTAGTGTCGTGTATACATCGATTTTCGATTCATCCAGTGCTACCGGGAAGGTGGGAATCAAACAAGAACAAATAAAAACAAACACTCCTATCTGCACATGGATCGCGGCCATTTTCCGGTCACAGGTCAAGAACTCCCGACATGCAACGCAGTAAATTAAACTTTTCAAACTCACATTGAGTCATTTCAGGGCTCATACCACTAATTGAAACTCAATAGAAGACAATGTTAACATGTGACGAGATTGCTTTTTTAAATAAAAACATGGCTCAAAAATGGGAAATCAACATGCCAGTAATCAGCCACATGAAAAAAACTAACATGTTGGCCAGCTCAAACTCTTACAAATCTCAAGACAAGACACACCTATATTACTATATTATGATTGCACCTAGAGAAATCACTGGAAAAACACCAAGATTAGAAAATCAAAATACACACAGAATAAACCCACAGGTACACAGCCGCTAAGTAGTAAACAATATACCACATGTTTTTGTCTTTGACCCAGGTGATCACACCCTCAAACAGGGAGCACCTGAGAAAAAAAAAATATTTAAAAAAAGTCATTGGTTCTTGCAAGGCATTTAAATTGAGGGGCTATGAGCAGCCATTGGTTGATTAGTGGCATGAGACCTGTAAGGCCATGGTTAAGTAGACTCAAAATTTAATAATGTAAACTGAACTTTAAAAAATCAATTTACAATACCAGGTACTCTTGGAACAAAAGGAATTATTATTGGGTATATTTATTTTATATTTAAATTCTCATACCATACTATTCAGTAGTCAGAAAAGTTAAATTTGCAAAGTTTATTACAGCGTTTTCACAGAGAGGCTGACCCAATTGAAACATGTCTGTTCATGTTGAAAGATTGATTGAAGTTGTAACTAAAAGCAGGCATAAAAGCAATGCGACCGACAACATTCAATTTGATGGAAATGGGGAACAAGTTATAAAGCAGTTTTTTGTTGTCCACACCAATACAAAACTAATAACAATTGCCTAAATGCAATGTTTATAAATTTACTATTAAAGTTAAAGAGTTATACAGTGCATTTCATGAAGGCATGGGTGTGGCTTTTTTATATATAAATTAATTATAAATTCCAAATGACGGTTGAACACAACTTGACCAATCAAAATATATTAAACATTACATGTTAAACATGGTAGTAAAACGACCAATGATTGATGGGTTACTAAATGGCTTCTATACACAAATGAAAGCATATTCTTTGGATTTCAATGAAGTTAGAAGGTCTTCCAGGGTAAATTTTTTAATAATAAATAATATTTTTTATAACAAACATTCATTCATGCATATATGAAATTTACTGCATGCATACGCTCATCTTTTAAATCCTTGGTTATAACAAACAAAAGACGCTAAAATTATAATTCCATGATTTATTAGCAGAACTCATAAAAAGTAATGTTTATAAATAGTGAATATTCCAGTGAAAAAGTTAATTGTATAAATTTACATAATACTGGATCAGTGGCAAATCCTGAAGGAACAACCTTTAAACACAGATTTAAATATTATATAATAATTTTTTTTGTGAAACAAAATACAAATAAAACAATGATACTTCATTGCATTTCTGAAACCAGAAACTATCATAGACCATGTATGAACAAACTCCTTCGGAAAACCACACCCCAATATTTCTGCTCACGTTGTTTCATCGTTGTTTTCTAGATGTTGTTGGAACGTGTGGGGTTCTTTTCTGTTTTTTATATCAAATGGTTGCTACGCAACTGACTAAAACTATGAAGTTAAAAAGATCAAATTGCAGAGTGTATATATTAAACGGCAGTGGTGTGGTCGTCGTGCCACACAGAGATATTAGTTTCATATGAACAAAGATGGCGACTTTGTCTGTTAGGCAGACTAACACGTACAAACTGAGTTTTAACCATGTAATTTCTTTCATAATTCGAAGGTATCAAAGTCTCTGGTGGTAATTACCAGTAGTGCATTGTCACGCCTAGGTCATTTACATTAGAAGAAGAATGCATTGGATTGTGGGAAAATCAATGTTTATCTACACAAATGTCGCAAACGACCACCGCCTTTCAATCATTGAATTTCATGGTTCAACCAAAGTCTGTGTTCTGTAAAAAACAGCAACAAGAATTATTGCCTTGATCTACAGATAACAAGGGGTTGCATTCATTGGTTAAATATCACAGATCAAATGACATTATGGCTGTTTGAAGTGAAAATGAGTAGCACAATGAATGTGTAATTATTTTTTTTTTTTGCATATGAAACACCGCCTGTCATCTTTGAATAAATAATAAATATATAACGGTAATAAACACATGAAAGTTAGAAATGCTTTTTAGCATTATCAATAAGCTATAACTACCACAATCTGATTAAAATCCGATGTAGGTATGAGGCTCCAATTTTTTTTTTTTTTTTAATACTTTTTTTTTTTATAACTCTTTATACTATATATATCTGTATTTATTTTGAATATGTTGATTTTTTTTTGGTTTTTCTTGCCATTAATCAGTTCTTAAAAAATTGTGTCCCAGTCACCTCTAACTAATTCAAACTAAAATACAAATAAATATAATATAAAGGGTTATATATAAAAAAAAAATATTTAAAAAAAAAAAAAAAATTGGAGCCTCAATACGGGGTGCCCCAGGGATCAATATTAGGGCCTTTATTTTTTCTTCTCTACATAAATGATATTAACCACTCTACTGATGCTTTTAATTTCCGCCTCTTTGCGGATGACACTAATTTATTTAAATTCCTGTAAACTAACTCTATTGATCTTTCTAATATTAATAATGATTTTGAAAATGTTGTACAGTGGTGCAATGCTAATAAATTAACAATTAATGAAGAAAAAACAAACTATATGATCCTGAAAACCCCGCAAAGAAAAGTAAAAGTGGAGGGACAGCTCACAATCAATGATACGTTGATAGAGGGCGTGTCTAAAGCCACTTATCTGGGAGTAACCATTGACCCATGCCTAAATTGGAATTCTCATATTGAAAAAATTGTGAAAACCGTTAGTCCCAAACTGGGCATTATATCTCGCATTCGTCACTATGTTCCCAGATCAATTCTCATCCTACTATACAACACACTTATTCTCCCACACTTAATGTACTGTATTGAAATCTGGGGAAACACATACCCAACACTTCTTGAACCAGTTCTGCTCTTACTTTGTAAATTACAAACCTGCCTATTTATCTTCGACCTTAAACACAACAGATATGCACATAGCCTCAATAAGTATGTTAATGATTACCCACATTGCTATCCCACAAGTTCAGTGCCTAGCGGTAACTTGTCAATTCCTGTTGCTCAACTTACAGTTTCACAACATAATTTTAAATTTGCTGCAGTAAAACACTGGAATTCACTTCCAGACTCCCTCAAAAACATCACCAACAGAAACAAATTTAAATATGAAATGAAACATTATTTGCTTTGTTAAATTCCTCGATTACCTCCCATTTCCCTAAATTTTTTTTTTTTTTTTCTTTTTTTCTTTTCTTCTGCATAAAAGTTCGTTGTACCAGCAGTTCGATTATATTATTATTACACATAATTTTTTAGTCATATTTATATCTAAATCATATAGATTACCTTTTAATTTTCGTTATGTAAATAGTAATTTTCCTTTCCTTTACCAGTAAATTGTAAATATCTACTTGACAGTCTGGGCCATGGACTGGACTAGTCCATAAGGACCATTTCCATGGTCCACGCCGGAATTACTACTATTGTATTTTGTTTATGAGTTCTGTTTATAATGGTCATTCTGGTGAAATAAAATAAATAAATAAAAATAAAATAAAATACCCACATCGGATTTTAATCAGATTGTAACTACCATAGTCAACTGATCTACATGTAACCCCCAAATAAAAGATAAACATGTTTCTTTTCAGCTTTTTTTTCTAAACTCTGACAAAAAAAAACAAGCAGTGACCGCATAATTTTAACCGATGACCAGAAACATGAATATTTTTTGTCCGAGTCTGAGGGTCAAGTGTTAACTTAACAGGAATTATTACAATGTAATAAGGATTATTAAATATAAATATGAATAAATTTTAAAAATTGTGATTGAAAAACATTAAGATTAAATGAAATCAACTTGATCTGATAATTTTTTTGAATCTACAAAATATGTCTTGAAAAATTATTTAATTATGAAATAAAATGATGTACATTGATAAGAAACACACACATGTATTACTGTTAAGTTGTTACAAGTTTGATCCAAAGCACTCTGATATGTTTGAAAAAAAGACACATTCTAACATCTGAGTTTTACGGCATTTAATTATCATCAGTCAAATCATCAAATATTTATGTGCATTTATCTTTGTCTTTGTATCAATAAAAGAACAAATGAAGCCTAACAACAGTTGATGACATAGTCATGTTTTGTTGTGTTTTTTTTTCAATGAAAATGACCAACAGTTGGTCAAAATTTAACAAAAAATAATATCTTCATTCTTTTCTTTTTTGAACAACATTCAAATAGAATAAGTGATAAATAAACAAATTGATCTATTGGTGCAATACTATAATAAAAGTAATCAATATTGATGTCCCTAATTACTAAGCTTCATTCAGTTTTAATTTTACTTCTATATTTCATTGACTGATCATTTCTCTTTTTTAGTGTCACTGAGAACACCTACTTTCACATCAATAGGTGGCGACAAATTCTTGGAGAACGTATCTGATACAGACTGTGGTAAAATGGAGGAACAAACAGAAAACAAGTTGTACAGTCCTCCACATCGATATTTAGCTTTGGGTTCCGTCGACAGCAACGCTTCAGTCACGGCATCAGACAGCAATATGAGATCATCAGTGGTAACCGATGGTGACGGTTTTGCCAAGGCCGCATCCATCATGTGCTTTAGATATGCTTCGCCATAAAGCTCTCTTTGTTCAATTGTGGCTTCTTGAAAAATCTGGCTCTGTAGGCTACGCAGTCCTGTCTTGGATAACATATCTGTGAGACAGAATGGAATTGATTGGTCAGAAGCATGCATATATACAATGTTTTATCTAATTAAGAAATTGTAGTAATTTATCCTTGCACACGGAA